TACTTCAATACTAAACTTATAAATATATGCACATAGATCTATTTCCACGTTGTCATATATAAATATATTTATGTATGTACATGTATTTACACATGTACAATATAGACCTCTATAAATGCCCTTTGCCTCCTAGTTCTTTCCTCTATTTCCTTTAGCTTTCCTCTTGTCCCACTATCATGCTCAGCCTTCATTTGGGTTTCGGTAATTCTCGGTTAAACATTGCCCTTGATCAAGCCCTACCCAGGCCTCCTTTACCCTCCTCACCACTGATTTTGGATCAATTGTTCCCTTGTCCCTGGGTTTGTTAACACCCACTTCCTTTCATTTGTTAACACCCTCTCGCCATGTCCCCCTAGAACTGTCTGTCCTATTGTTTTCTCCTCTAGCTTGTTTATCCCGCCTGTCTTATCTAGATAAACATGCAGAGACAATAATAAGCACAAAAAAACGAGACAGAGCAAAACAAAGCAACAAAAGGAAACAACAACAAAAAAAGCCTGTAAATAGTTCAAGGTCTGTTTGTTGACCTTTAGGAGTTTTTTCCAGTTGACTCTGATGGGGTGCCACACCATGGCCTCACAGTCCATTTTTGGTATTCCCCAGGGACTTCCTTGCTCTGTTCCCCTTGTTCTGTCCCCCTTGTTCTGTTGTACGCCTTTAGTGTTTTGTCTCAGTGTGGTGGGGTCAGATTGGGTTCAATTCCCATAGTATGTCTCCAGTGTTGTCCCCTGTAAGGCTATGGGTCAGTGAGGGATGTCGTGTCTCATAGTGGGGCTGGCCCTATGGCCCTCCCTGTGCATTGGGTACTCTGAGCGGGAATAGCGTCCTCAGGGCTTGGTGGGCCAGGATGTGCTCCACTCTCTCTCCCTCCCCCTTTGTTTGCTCCTGTGTTCTCTGATTAGACATGTCCCTCTCCCTGAGCTGCAGCTTCAGTGCTGTCCTCTGAAGTGAATTCTTCTGAGGGGTGGTGGTGGGACTGTCCACGTAGTTGGGATTGGGGCCAGCCCCTCAGCCATCATCCTTTTCAAAACATTTTCTTTC